AATTTTCTGCACACACACTAGGAGAGCTCTGGCTGCTCAGTACCATTTAGTAAATCACTAGAGCTGTCCCACATGGCACTGTTAAATTATGAAACTAAGTTTTGAAAAGCACTTACCATCTACTTTAGGCCTGGGCAACATTTCTTTCTTTTTAAATTTGTTAATTTTTATTTTATGGGCATTGTTGTTTTGCCTGTGTGAGGGTGTCAGATCCCATAGAACTGGAGTTACAGACATTTGGAAGCTGCCATGAGGGTACTAGGAATTGAACCCAGGTCCATTGAGCCATCTCTCTGGGCCCCCAACATGTCTTTCTTATGCTATACATTGAAAATAAAGTCTCACCAGCTGGTTTTTGATAGAGAATATGAGTATGTTGTTACGACTGGATATTTTATATGGTTTATCCCCCACAAGGTCCACCACACCTGAAGCTTGCTGCCTGTGTAGGGTATTGAAGGGGTAGAGCCATTAAGAAGTGGGGTCTGGCAAGTATTAGGTCAGTCAGGGCTCTCCCCTTACTGATGGAATAACAGCATCTCTCAGAAGTGTGTCAGGCCTCTTAGGGGCTTAGTTTCCATGTGCAGCATGGTTATAAAACTTCATCGGCTTGTTCTGATGTTCTTGTCTCACCATAGAAATTTCCTCACTATCCTATACACTCCCTTTATTGGGAAACCACTCATCACAGGGGTCTCAAAAGCAGAGCAGATATTTGCACCACGCTGTTGAATATCCAGGACAGTAAGCTAAATATAACTTTCATCTATAAGGTACTCAGTCTCAGATATTTTCTTATAGAGACAAAAAATGGATCAAGACAGATGTGAACCCCTAAGCCAATATAATTTCTGTCTCTAATGGCAATTCCCGACTGACTGCTTTTGAAGAGGCTCCTTCTCTGAGGATCTCAGAGTCTGAAGCCTTGTGGAAAGAGACCAGATCACAGAATGCTTAGACAGCTGCTCTGTGCTACAGTTTGTATTTAATGCTTTCAGGTTCAGAATAAGTAGAGTAGGCCGGGTGGTGGTGGCGCACGCCTTTAATCCCAGCGCTTGGGAGGCAGAGGCAGGCGGATTTCTGAGTGCGAGGCCAGCCTGGTCTACAGAGTGAGTTCCATGACAGCCTGGGCTACACAGAGAAACCCTGTCTCGAAAAACCAAAAAAATAAAAAAATAAAAAAGAAAGAAAGAAGGAAAGAAAGAAAGAATAAGTAGATTAGAGTCATCTTAGGCTGAAACGTTCTTATCTTCCACCTTCCAAATGATGCACATTCCACAAATGCACAAGCATGTGTACAAGCCCATGAGCTGCACAAGCATGTGCACAAGCCCATGAGCTGGATAAAATAAGCTTCTTGTACTGAAGATGCCCCCTGGCTGGAGAAGTGGGAAGGATACTTTGCAAACATCAGTGCAGTGCTGTCACAACATAAAAAGGTACAGACTGACTAAAGGGAGACCACATATAAGAGCTGGGTACCTGAGTGTCATTGTACACATTCACAACGTTCACTGGCCTGTGGGTATCACACACAAAAAAGATACTGTCTTCATCAGGCTGAAGGATATCCAACAGGTCCACATTGGCTCCACAGTTTATGAGGATGAAATAGGAGAACTGAAAGAGAGGAGGTGGCATTGTCAAGGAGGCCTCTCCTCCCCCTGCACTGCCACCCCATGTTCCTCTGTTGAGCACATTATGTCAAGGCCCAGGAGGAGTGCTAAGTGGCTTGGTTATTGCCTTTCCATGATGACACTGTAAAACGGGCTCTGGGGCTCCTCTTGCTTCCTGAGGAGCATGCTGAGGCTCCGCAAGGTCAAGACTTGTGCACAAATAGCTAATGAAGCATAGGAACAAGACTTCGAACACATACCAAAGTCTTACCGAACACTGCTCGACTACTGTACTCTGAAGCTCATCACAGTAATAGCACTGTGTGGGGTAGGTTTGCAGCAAGTCCTGGGCAGCCTCACTTGTGGCCTCCTAAATATTAAGTCCCTTATCAAGCAATCACTATAGCAAAAACTTTTCCTTTAGTAACACCAAATTGCCTGACTATGGGGTCACACCTGTAATACAACACTCTGAAGGCCAAGGAAGGAAGATTGTCCATGAGTTCAGGGTCAGCCTGGGCTAGCAAATAAGATCTTGTCTCACAATACTGGAGGAAAAGACTGTTATAAGTAAATAAGTATATAAATAAATCTCTTCCAAGTCATTCTAAGACACTCTGACATGCCCTACCCACTCCCTAGAGGGCCTTCAATAACCCATTTCTCATCTGGTCCCAGGTAGAGGTAAGGAGTCTTGGTTCTACCATTTAATTCCAAAGTAAAAAAATGTGTTTGATAACTGGGTGCATTTTCTAGAGATAATATCAGATAATACAGTGGTGTATCTTAATAAAATAAGTGAGGTTAGGACTGAATCCCCAAGCAAAGAGTAAGCACGTGCTGGATCTAGCCTGCAACGCCCTACTCCCCTTGCGCACATATGTAGCATATGCACAGCTTGGTCTTCATGTGGATTCCCCCAACAACTGGAGTGGGGACTGTACCTAAATTTGTTGCCCTTATGTGGATTCCATTCCCCTAATTGGGCTCCCTTGTCTGGCCTCAGTGGGAGAGGATGTGCCCAGTCCTACAGTGACTTGATGTGCTAAGGGGAGGTGATACCTGGGGGGGGGGGGGGGGGGGGGGAGCTCCCCTTCTCAGAGAAGAGGGGGGAGTAAGTGGGAGGAACTTTGGGGGTTCTGGGAGGAGGGGGGCTGATATGGAATATAAAATAAGTAAACAAACAAACAAACAAACAAACAAGCGAGGTCAGAGTAGGTGCTGCCCACAACTGTACTATTTTTATTTTTGAGGCAGGATCTTGTTATGTAGCTCAGGCTGGCTTCAGACTTGCTATATGTAGCTCAGACTTGCCTCAAATTGGTGATTCCTTGGCAATGTTGGTTCTGCCACCATAACTTCAAGCATAGTGAAATTGATACTTCAAAACACACTTATCCTACTTCAGAACTAGACAAATGCTAAGTATTTAAAAACTGCAACTAAGTAGAGTGGCCTAATTATTCTAAAATGTATTAGTTCATACTTGCTCTTTATGTTCAAGAAATGCAGTTTCAAGTTCCTGCCACCCAGAAACTGGAACCAGTGTATACTGTACGTGGTCACACTGAAACAGGGCCTGGAGAGAGAGAGCACACGGTCAGAAACCCCTCATTTAAGCTAACTTACCTGGAATCGCCAGCAGCAAACAAACTAGCTGAGCTGAGAGACAAAGACCTATGTGATATGCTGTTTGGTAAAAGATCAGTAGGAGCCAGGTGGTGGTGGCGCACACCTTTAATCCCAGCACTTGGGAGGCAGAGACAGGCGGATTTCTGAGTTCGAGGCCAGCCTGGTCTACAGAGTGAGTTCCAGGACAGCCAGGGCTACACAGAGAAACCCTGTCTCAAACAAACAAACAAACAACAACAAATCAGTAGGAAAAGCTAGGTGGCAAGTCTGCGAGCGAGTGTTCAATCTGAATCTGTACAATTTGCCAAAGAAAAATATTAAGGGAAAAAACCCCTAATTTTAATTACTGGGGTTCTGAAAAATTCCTGACCCCAAGGCATTGTAAAAACCACACTATGGTCAAAGTCCAAACTAATAATCTTCTCGAATAGACTAGTGGCTCCTGTATTTCCAGCACTTGCTTGACACAACTCCCAGCTGTCACATCCCCTCTCTCAAATTCCATCTTTGAGAGGTCATTTACAAGTTCAAAGATTTTGGAAGTGAAACCATTTTCACTTGGGTTATTGTAAAACAACAACAACAACAACAAACCACTGCTTACTTGTCTCACCGTTTGCACTATACTTCTCTTGTCCCAGTATAGGTCTGAGATGACCCTTTGGGTTCCTCATCTCACGTCTGCTCCTTCTGGTCCCTCCCCTTCTGCGTCCCATCTCCTGTTGGGGCCAACCCTGTTCCACCACCTCTCGCCCCTGCCCAATCTTCCTAAGGTGTTCAAAGCCCACCTGAAGGATCTTGCAAGCACACAAGGCATCCACGTCCGAGGCCACAAAGAGAAGGACCCTCTGTAGAAGCAAACGCGGACAGATGAGTTGAGCACAGGGACGCCAAACTCTGTGACAACACCCTCCCGGCCCATTCACGGACACTCGCCCTCATTCCTCCCCTCAGATAAAGCTTGGATCAGGGTCGTGGAATGGGAGTCACCTGGTTGTGGAGCAGCTCGTAGAACTCTTTGCGGAAATCGGTCACGAACATAGCCACAACAGCCGGATACCTGGAACTGGCGCTGAGATACCGACAGCCCCAGAGGTCCTCAAGACTCCCGCCAAATCACAGCTCTTCCGATTGGTCCACGCCAGTAGCCAATAGTTTTTAGCCTTTCCTCCTTTCTGATTGGGTCCTACTGGCAATAATGCTCTGCTATTCGCAGCTGGGTAAGATCCGCCCGCCACACTCCCCTCCCCCTAAAGAAGCCTTATCTTTACTCAGGCTGCGAAACCTTGTTGCTAGTGTTGACGCTTACTTCCAGTTACCCAAAACCCCCTACGCTTAGCGGACATCTTTACTTTGGGAAGAAATGTCTAGAATCGGACCCTGGAATACTCAGAAAAAAAATACTCTTAGACATAAAGTAAATTCAGTCACACATAGTTTGAAGGTGGCAACTACATTTTAAACGAACTGTTTGTCGAATTAGAGTGAACTATAGATTACTTCCGCCCGAATACATGATGGCGGGGCCAACGCCGGAAACTCAATCTGCATTCTGGGTATTGTAGTCAGTAACGAGAACGGCTCCTACCAACTTGTTCGGAAGGGAGTACTATCTAAACATTATAAATAATCGCTGTCCTGTGAAATCATTTATCAAGTGTTTTAATGTTTACTTTAAATAATTTTCAAACCTCAGCCCTTTCTGTTTTTCCGCCGCTGACTCCAGGCATCTGTACCCCCCTCCCGCGGTCTCTCGTCACTTCCGGCGAGCCTCTCGCGGGTTCTGGGTTTCGGAGCGGTGGCCTCGGCTGCTAAGAGGGAGCTTTGGGTATCTATTATAAGGTTCAGGAAAAGGAGCGGCATCACCAAACTCTGTCAATCATGGTGAGTTGGCCGGGGATCGCAATCCTTGTGATGCCAGAGCTGCCCCTGGAGCTCGGCGGGGAGGGCCTGGACTTGGTGGCGGAGGTGCCGAGTCACCCGGGCCTGCGTCGGGCCCGCTCCACTGTCCCGAGCGCTTATGTCCCAAGTGGCATTCAGAATTACGAGCCGCCTCTTTTCTTCTTAGCTTGTCCGAGTCATGATTCGTATGCCTTTCGGCGGGACTGCTGCCTCCCCAAGAGTAGAAAGGAACCTCCTACTTTATGTCGGTAGTTCTCATAAGTGCTCGACACGCAACAGGTGAACTCGAAGTTAACTGGAGAGTTCTTGGGGAGTAGCGCGAGGGAGGAGAATCCGACGGACATTAAGCTCTGCCAAAGTTCCCTGACCTTTTATTTAGTAAAGATCATGTCTTAGGATGTATGTCACCTTGTGTTCATCATGTTGTGATAACGACAATAGGTAATATTTGGGACGCTTTTTTTTTCTATCAAAATATACTTATTTAATTCTTGCGTTCCCCAAGGAATATAGGTAGCTGTTACACTAACCGAGAGAACTAAAACTTAGAGAGGTAGTATTCACGAAAGCGAGGCACAGAGGTTGGAAGTCAAGCCCATCTGGCTGCAGTGATGTCTCATCACTACTGTGTATAGTGTTGACACCATGCCATTTGTTTGTTAGAAACAAGAAGTGGTTATTCGATTTTTATCGTAGTGTCATTGTTAAATCAATATCTAAGTTTATTTGTGTAACCAGAGCTGACTGCTTGATGTGTTAGGCATCAAAGCTTTATAAAGGAAGTAAACACAGGTGGTAGAAGCCTGAAGGAGGAGCATACGGTCATGTTCATCGGTGGATGAGTTGGAAGGATACAGTTATGGTTAATATATACTTTCTGTATTCTATTTACATTTTAGAGAGGAACAGTAGGTTACATGGATGGCATAGGGGAAGGAGCTTTGACAAGCACACACACCCCTAACCCCATCATTCAAAAAAAAAAAATTTTGTGGGTTATGCACTTAAGACTGAGTCAGACAAGCCGGGCAATGGTGGTGCACGCCTTTAATCCCAGCACTTGAGAGGCAGAGGCAGGCGGATTTATGGCCAGCCTGGTCTACAGAGTGAGTTCCAGGACAGCCAGGGCTACACAGAGAAACCCTGTCTTGAAAAACCAAAAAAAAAAAAAAAAAAAAAAGACTGAGTCAGACAGTTCTGGTGCTTAGAGAAAAAGATAAAAGGCTGAAAACTTCTGTGCTAGTAACTGAAGAACAATTTATTGATGGGAGATGTTGGTATGCACATGAGCTTGAGAATAGAGGCCTGGGCTGGGTATGTGAGTCTGTGTATGTGAAGGTCAGCAGACTATCTTGGATGTAGTTCCTCATGTCTTGACTTTGCTGACTGGTGTGAGAAAGTACTTGATATGCAGGATGCATGTCTGTGCTGTGCTGTGAGCATCTGAAGAAGTACTAAACCCTGACCCCTGCCAAAGCAAGGGAGGCTTGCTGGAGAAGAGAAAGGATTGTAACTAAAAGCCAGATGAAGGACTACATACATGGGCAAGTGCTTTTCCACCACCTGCAGTGCTGGTTTTTGTTTCTTGCCCAGTTGACACTCAGGACATGTAGGCCTTTAATGAGGATCTCCTCCTGAACACTGGTTAACATCTAGTCTTGGATGCTCCCTGTCCCCATACCTGCTTCTTGTCGTCAAAACTCACAGACATAGGTGTTTTATTGTTATCTTCCTTGTCTTTCATATCAGGTTCACCAGGGCACAGGTAATATCTGCCTTCTTAGGACTCAAACATTACGAAAGTGATGTCCCCTAAAGTCTAGATTAGAGCCACATAAATAGTAGGCACTCAGGGAAAGAGATGGCTTCTGAACACTATGTTAGGAGATGGTGGGTGCTCAGTAATGAGTCTCTGTGAAGTGTATGTAAGGTCCAGCTTTGATCTTGAGAATAGCAGAAACCTGGTTTTATATTTTAGTAAAGTTGCAGTGTCTATAGATAATGGAAACTGGACCTGGGGGATGAGTCTGGGGGAGACAAAAGGGATTGAGGTTCACTGTGCTACCTAGGCAGTCAGAACATTCTGGTTAATTGAGATTCTAGTTTACTGTGTTCTTTGACCACGTTTATAAGCGCTGATGACTTGCTGTGTTTAGTGCTTGGCCTAAAGAAACATACATTTGAGCTAGATACAGTGGCCTACGTTTGTCCTAGCTATGTGGGAGGCTAAGTCAAGGCCACTGAACTCAGGACTCGATGACCAGCCTCTTTTCTAGAAGTACTTTTGTTTTAATAATAATTCTATTTTTTTCTTTCTTCTAGTTTTCTTTCAACATGTTTGACCACCCGATTCCCCGGGTCTTCCAGAACCGCTTCTCTACGCAGTTCCGCTGCTTCTCCGTGTCCATGCTCGCAGGGCCTAGTGACAGGTCAGATGTGGAGAAAGGAGGGAAGAGTATGTGCCTGTTCTTATTCTGAATAGTAGCCTTTCCTGCCCTAAACTCCACGAGCTGTGTAGCCTTCTAGAGCCCTTATTCTGAAGAGTAACCTTTCCTGCCCTAAACTCCACGAGCTGTGTAGCCTTCTAGAGCCCTTATTTTGCATGTGGGCACCAGACACTAACATTATTGTAAAAATGTCACTGTCCTAAGGCATGAGTGGTGGGAGTAGGGTGCTAATTATGTGTGTTGATTAAGTGCCATTCAGAGCACAAAAGTAAATTACTTCAAGTAAGATTCTTTATGAAAAGTCATCATGAAATTCTGGCTACCCCTTAACCACTGTTTAAAGCTTTTAAAAGACACATCAGAAAGTTTACATCTTGCCTTTGTTCTGTCCTTTTGTTTTATTTACTTAATATTCCTGAAATTTCTTTTCACAGTAATTATGCCACCCTCAGCCCTCGATCAACTCAGTAAGTACTTTCTAAATGACTCGACAGTTTGGGAGATATAAGTACAGAAGCCAGAAATGGGCATAGGCTTTTCGTTGTGCTTAGATCCAGGTAACATTTGTCAGGATGTGGTTAGAATCCTCTTTGGAGGGTGTGCTGGGCTAGAAGGACCATGGACAAGTACCTTAGATGAGGCAAAGCATGGTCGTGCTTTCCACTGCAAGGGCGCTATAAACACCAGTCAGTAAAGGATATTTTTCTGTTTCTTCTCACCCAAGCCTCTTCCCCCATTGCCTGGCTTGTCTCAAGAACTTGTCTAAATACAAAGGAGCAGCACTTTGCATAGTGCTTGAGTAGTTCATACTGTGGTGTAGGCTCATTAGGTTGTCTCCTAAAGGAAAAAAAAAACAAAAACGGCTGATCTACAAGAGGGCTGTGAAACAGATCTTCACCTCCTTTTCAGATAGCTCTCCTGAGCTCCAAGCCTGAATTTTTCACTTCCAATGTGACATCATATCCTGAGGTATCAAAGGTTGAGCTGCCACTTTCTCTTCCTGTGCTGGATAAAGCCATTGCGAGACAAGCCCCATGTTTCCTTTCTCAGGTTATGGACAGTCCTAATTGTAGATGCACTCTTTGCTTTGGAAACTTGAAGATGCTCCCATATTGAATTCATTCTGTGGAGACTGGTTATGGAGATGTAGTGGTGACTTGCAGATGCTACTTTGCTGTGTTTGGGCTTTGAACTTTGCCCTGCTCAGCTACTGGCTTAGCTTCTCAGGATCTTGGTATCTCCATTAACCAGGGATGCCATCAGTACCGTTCACTGGAGCTGTGGTGATAGTTATAAGTGGGGAGGTGAACTATAACCAGCTCTAGGTGGGACTGTCCAGTGGAGACGTCTCCTTAGGCAGCAGGTAGAATAGAGCCATGGGGTTAACAAGAGCCTGTCATTATAAAGACAGGATGAGTCCTTAGTCTTGCTTTTGGGTGAGCTGACCAAGGAGCCCAGGTGTGTATCAAGGAAAATACTTGGGAACCGGATCAGTGGAATTTAGGCCAGATTAGAGCAACATTCAGACCTTTCTTTGTTTGCTTTTGCTGTACTAAGGATTCAGGCATGCTAGTTGAATGCTTATTCACTGAGTTAGAACCTCAGCCCTTTAAAGCCCTTTTTCTTCCTTCAGACTGGGTCTCACCCAACTTAATTAGGGTAACCTCAAACTTAAAATCTTCCTGCCTTGACTTTCTGAGCCACCATGCTCAGCTGTTGAGACCTTTTAAGTGGTGGAAGAAACCCTCTGTAACCAAGGAAGACAAGGGAGTCTTGATTTGTGAAATCCAGGTTATTGCTCAGGCTGTGGAGTTAAGTGTTGCAGGACTGGGGAACTCAAAGTCAGGCTCTCCATCGCTCAGTGGCTGGAGGGTGCTAGAGTTTTCCTGACTGCCTCTGCCTTGGATCTTTGGCAGGAGCCTGGTCTGCAGCACCCAAGACCGTGCATGTCTGAGTCAATTTGTAGCTTCTATGGCTGGGGCTGTTTTAGTAACAGAGAGCCTCGCTCCTTGTCTCAGTCACCCTTGTGCTGGTAAGATCACCTCCATTCCACAATGAGGCACTTTTCTAAGCTGCTTTGGAGCTTCCTACCCAAGCTCTTCCCTGGTTAACTTTATTCATTCAACATTTAGAGAGAGGCCAGAAGTCTGCTTTGCCTCCTGATGCTTAGTGGACTTTACTTGCCAGATGTGGTGGCAGGCCTCTGAGTTAGAGGCCATTTAGGGCTATGGATTGAGTCTTAGTGTGTGTGCTTAACCTGACAAGCTGCAGTCTACTTCAGTGGCAGAGTTCCCTGACTTCAGCAGTCTAAGTCTGGATCCCAGCACCACCACTTCAGAGCATGATCACTTAGGGCCTGTTACTTTATCCACATGCCTCAGTTGCTCCCATAATATAAAAAGGGAAGAACGGTAGTGCCTTCTTCATTATTCTGGGAAGGTTAAACAATTGTCCAGGACATGGCAAACACCACTCAGAACCTCTCAGATCCTTCCTATTGCCCTGGTCTCCTGGTTTTTTCTGGTTTCATGTGGCCAGGCCCTCCTTCCTGCCCTTGTGCCTTTGAGTCAGTGTTCTAGTCCAGTTGCTGGCTCCTGCCCTCTGTGCAGCCCTTAACTCACAGATCACTGGAATTGAGAGACATGTCATGTTGTAACCTTCTGAGCTAGGTCTGCCCTCTGGCCTAGATACTTGTCTCTGTTCCATGTGTTCTCCTAGTATCTCCCTTCCTGACTTATTCTCACGCCTGACCCCAGCCATCTTGCCTAATTGAGGGTCATTCCTTGAACTAGCTGAGTTCTTCCCATCCATTCCTTTGCTTAGCTGTCCCCCTTCCTGGATTGTGTGTCTGGTAGCTGACATGGAAAGCTGGGTCTTTAGGGGCTAGGAAGCCTGTTCCCTGGTCTTTCTCTCGCTCCTCTTTGCTTCCCATGGTGCTTGCAGTATGTACTGGTGCATGTCAGTTTACAATCTCAAACAATCTAATTAAAAACCTTTAAAGGAACAAACAGGTTTTCTTTTTTTGTGGCACATGGTTGGCACTTTAGTTATTGATGAATAAATGAACATGCTACTTTTAAGAATCATGATTTCAGGGTTGGAGAGATGGCTCAGTGGTTAAGAGCACTGACTACTCTTCCAGAGGTCCTGAGTTCGATTCCCAGCAACCACATGGTGACTCACAACCATCTGCAATGTGATCCAATGCGCTTTTCTGGTGTGTCTGAGGAAAACTACAGTGTATTCATATACATTAAATAAATCTTTAAAAAAAAATCATGATTTCAGAAAATCATGTTTATGCTGGTGCTATGTGACTAAGTCACCGAGCTCTAGGGCCACATGGTATATTCTTGCAGTGATACCCCTCTGAGTAGAACAGTAGGGGAATGTGGGGGCATTGGTGGACAGGGTTTCCTTCACAGGAGCTGGTGGTAAGTGTGGTGCTTGATTGTGTGTTGTAACATCTTTGTTCTTAGGCCGGCTCAACATTACCTATCCTATGCTGTTTAAACTGACCAATAAGAATTCAGACCGAATGACACACTGTGGTGTACTGGAGTTTGTTGCTGATGAAGGCATCTGTTACCTCCCCCACTGGGTGAGTTGAGCTATGAAGGTCTGTAGAGTCTGTCTCTTGGGGACCTCATGAGCAAAGACACACCTTTTCCATGTGTGTGCATGTCTGAGAGTCCTTTCAAGTAGAACAGCCCAGTAAGAGGAAGACATCTTCAGCAGTGTGCTGTGCCATGTTTAAAACATCATCCTTAACTGTGTAGACACGGGTCATGTGAAGGGTGTCATTATAGACCTGGGTCCTTCATCAAGGGCATGAGCAGTCCCAGAGCTTACCCTAGAGCAGGGCTCCTCAGAAGGGCTGGCAGGACTACGTAACACATCTGGGAGGATCCTGAGGTGGCAAGCATTCTGTGGGGTGGTTTGGATACTGCAACTCCAGTGCTTCCCTTCTCTCTCTCCTTTCAGTCCTAGCCCAGTTGACAAGCTCAGCTTTAGGAAGCCTTCACAGAGAGGCGTGGACCTTATTCTTTGTGCTTTAATGGTGTCAGGTGTCCTGAAAGGCCCTGGGCAGGCTATGGGTGGAGCTGAGGACACAGAAGTGCTTTGTCTACTGTACTTGGAGGCCCTACTGCCACCACAGCAGTGTTCTGAAGCTCAGTCCCCACCTGTTTGCTCTATCACAGTGATCAACACATTTCCTTTTTACAATTGCATGTGATTCAAGTTCTAAAGATTTTTTTTTTGTCACTGCCCCCCCCCCTTAGGGTGCTTGATGAGCTATGGCCCCATGTTGTCCCCAGCAGAAGTCCTGCTTAGACTTGCAACTCCTACTTCTAGGCGTTTGTGTGTTACCTGTCTCCTTGCCCAACTTGCTGTGGGATGTCTTACTAAAGCTGAGATCTGACATGCCTGTCACTTACACTCAGCACTTACTGTCCTGTTGTAATAGCAGGCCTGGCCACTGAAGCTGCACTGGACGGTGAAGTGTAGGGCAGTGACTCTTTCAGTCCTTCTCTTCCTGCAGAGGCCCCGTGGCTCACCTGTGGAGATGAAGTGTGAGGTAGACAATACTGAGCTCCGAAAATTTTCCCTTTAAATCCCTGTCGTGCAGTTAATAGCTACAGATTCTTTGACATCTTTAGCCTTGAAAGCTATCTGAATTTCTTTCCCTGAGATGCCACATGGCCCTTAGGAAGCCAATGGGAGTATGGAGACTTGTTTTTCCAGCTTGCTCTTGCTTTGGAATGTTCTCAAAGGAATTTGCATCCCTAAAGACTTGCTTGCTTGGGGTAGCCTAGCATAAGTGGGGCTGGCATTGGGGCCCCTAAAGATAAAAGGAGTTAGAGGTGTTAGGGAAGGCCAATGGAAATTCACTCTACAATTCTTTCTACTTGTGCATCTATGTATCCAAATTATTTTCAAAAAGATCTAAAATTAGCAAAACTCCATTCTGAGACCTGTAACCTATCCCTCTTTTCTGACCCATGGCTCTCTGTCTCTGACTTAGGTCTACTGGTGCTATAGTGGCCTGGTTTCCTACATGCTAGATTGTCACAGCCTTTGTTCATCTCTTTCTGTTCTCGTCCTCAGTCATCATCTGTCTTACTGGGTAGTTAGTGGGCGCATGTGTATTAGTGTTTTTATGACCCTTGGTAGCAGACATGTCTGGGGCCTTCCATGACTAACCTTTCCTTGTGTGGTCTGTCTATTGTAAGTGTGGTCTTGATTGCTTCAGGACCTTGAAAACTGCTTGTGGGACAGCTTTGGAGCTGTGGGGTAAGCATCCCAGGGAAACATTGTGTACAGAAGGCTAGAAACTGGTGGCCTGTCAGGTGGCCTTGGCAGAGACAGGCCACAATGCAGCCTCACTTGAGTCCCTTACTTGCTCTGCTTTCCAAGTGCATCCCCCACTTGGGTTTTCTTCTATGCCATATAGCACAATTAAATTGCTTGTTCCAAGTCTTCATCCTAGGCCCTTCTACCCAAATAATACTTGGACCCACTCAGTGTACTAACTGGCAGATGTTAACCATGTAGGCTTCTTAATTTTAAAGAGTTTCATGCTGATTTCTTCTCTTTAGATGATGCAGAATTTGCTGTTGGAAGAAGGGGGCCTGGTCCAGGTGGAAAGTGTCAACCTTCAAGTGGCTACCTACTCTAAGTTCCAGCCTCAGAGCCCAGATTTCCTGGATATCACCAATCCTAAAGCAGTGTATCCTTTTGACATAAGAGTCCTCTGTAGCCAGGCAGTGGTGGCACACACCTTTAATCCCAGAACTTGGGAGGCAGAGGCAGGCAGATTTCTGAATTCGAGGCCAGCCTGGTCTACAGAGTGAGTTCCAGGACAGCCAGGGCTACACAGAGAAACCCTGTCTTGAAAAATGAAAAAAAACCAGCATGGGGAACTATACATTGGTTTCTGATTGACTTTGTGATTGGTAGTGACATCATTTGGCTAGTACATCCTCTTGGTCCTGACAAGCAAGTCAGGGCTCTTTGGCTTTCTGCAGTCACTTGCAGAGCCTTCTTTTAGTTTTGTGGCTACGTGGCACAAGGACTGAGGTACGCAGTGTGCGCAGTGGGAAAGCTTTGTGGCCTCTGTGGAGCCCTTGCTCAGAGTCAGCTTGAACTAGGTAACCAAGCCCACTTTGTGCTCAGACTCGGAGCCTATTCAAAGTAAAACAGTAAAGGGTGGCCAAGTACATTTTCTGGGTTTTAGCAAGTGGGAAGGAAAAGTTGTATGGTTTTGTTCTAAAGATTTTTTTCTTTTATGTTCACTTCTCAGGTTATGGTATGTATATTTATAAATGTGACCAGTGTGAGTGAAGGGCCTGTTTTGTGTCACGATGTACATAACAAGACTTTGTCTAAAGACAAAACAAAAATCTCAAACAGCATCATGGGCAAGTAGAATGTTTGAAAACAAACATACAGTCAGAACCTGCTTTTACTTCCCTTGCCACCTGTCACCTCTCTCCATTCACTGTCTAGAGCAGGCTGCTGTGCCAAGGGTCAGATCCTGGATGCCAGTGGGCCTTGGCAGAGGCTCTTTTGATGAATGGGTCCTAGACAGATGGCCTTAGTGAGTTGTGTGAGCCCTAGACACAGGCCTGTGTTGGATACTTGTCTCCACTTTGTAGACAGTAGTAGAGGTGTCCTGTGCTGCAGGCAGGGGACTTCTGTGAGAAGAGCTGCTTAATTTGTCCATCAGAGTAAACTATACTGTTTTGCTGTCAGTGTGGGATGGGTCTTGTCTTCACCTTCACCTTTAGGATCTTTGTGGTTTACCATATTATAATGTAGATTTATGAGATTACTTTCAAGGAGGCCAGAAGAAAAGGGCATTAGATTCCCTAGGGCTTGGGTTATAGGTGGTTGTAAACCATTTAACGTGGGGACTGGGAACGAAACTTTGACCCTCCAAAAGAGTAGCACACATTCTTTACCATTGAGCTGTCTCTGCAGCCCCTGTTTTATTTTTTAACTTATGTGTATGTATGTGGATATGTGCATGTGGGTCTAGGTGCCTTTGGAGGCCAAAAGAGGGTATCAGATACCCTAGTTACAGGTGATTGTAATCTGTCAGTGTGGGTGCTGGGGACCAATCTTGGGTCTTCTCCAAGAGCTGTACTCACTCTTAATGCCGAGCTCTCTCCTTGGAGGCTTTTTCTCTGTTATCATAGGGAAAGGGGATCACTTTGGTTAACTGTTGTTTCTGGATAGGACTGATAAGGTGAAGGCAGTCCCGTGTTTGTGTGGTTAGTTTTTATTTTCAGCTTGACTGTTAGTAGGCATACGTAGGGTTATTTGTGAGTATTTTTTAAAAAGAGATTTAACTGAGGAGGGAAGACCCACTTGAGTGTGGGAAGCCCATCATGTGATCTGGGTCCCAGGCTGACTAAAGGGAGAAGGAGGAAGCAAGTTGAGAGCTCTCATTTCCTTTTCTCTGCTTTCTGATCCACCAGGTGTGACACCCACCTCCACAGCTGCAAGCCTTTCCTGCCCACATGCCCTCTCCCTTCATGATCAGCTGCTTTAGGGCCCACTGAACCCAAATCAATCCTTCCTAATGTTGCTTTTGGTTGAGTATTTGGTTTTGGGAATGAGAAAAGGAACAAAGGCCGTGTAGAGCAGAGGCGTGGGGAGCGATCACCATAGCATTTGCCAGGGCCTGCCAGAGTAATTCTAGGAGTCAGTCTCACTCACCTGAGGTCAGCCCTTCATCTGCTCGATGGAGGCGGGTTCCTTCTAGAGTCATTGGAAGTAGTAATCCGTTGTGTAGTTGAAGACATGCTGCTTGTTGTGTTGCCTTGACAGTGTGTATGCAGATTAGAAAATGCACTGAGAAACTTCGCCTGTCTGACGACTGGAGATGTGATCGCTATCAACTATAATGAGAAGGTAAAGGGTGTTCTGCTACTGTGCCTGTTTGCCAGAGGGAGGGAAATGACAAGAGCTAAGAAGTGATTCCGTCTAAGTATTTCGGTGACGCATAGCATTCATTGGGGTGAGTTACAGGAGCACGGGTGACCAGGTGCTAGTGACTTACAGAAGCTGCATCAGTTAAGTTCTATACAAGTCACAGGGCCACTCTCAGGGAGGGGCCTCCGGTGACTTTCCTTCTGCTCTTGGTGGATACCAGGAATGCCTGTGGTACATACACATGTATGCATGCAGGCAAAACATTCAGAAACTTAAAATAGAAAAAAAAAATCTTCCCTTCCTTCTTTCCTTCCTTCCTTTCTTTCATGTGTTAAAAATGCCTCTGCTGGCTGACCCTCGTGGTACATACTAGTTATCATACCACCTAGGTAATGGTTGTAGGTTCAAGGTTTCATGAGACTTCCCACACCCTCCATAAGAGAATGTTTGAATCCACAGTGAAGAGTCATAGTCACTGTCCATTCTAGTATTGAATGGGGCATTCTAAAAATGGCTTTTATCACCTAATTGCTGCCTACTGTTTAGTTTTCTAAAATTTCCTGGGTTCACATTTAGAGCCCTAATTTACTCAGTGTTGATAGTTAACTTTTTGAAGATATATATGTATAATCACTGGATTATCTCCCTAGCCTTTCATGGTGGTTAATTTGATTGCTATTTGATAGGATTTAGAAACACAATAGAATCAAAAACTGCAGTATGTCCACGAAGGACTGTGTAGCTACAGCTCAGATGGGAAGGCCCATTCTAACTGTAGATGGCATGGTTCCGTGGGTCAGTGTCCTAGACTCAATAAAACCAATGCAAGTTGAGCATCAGCACTCACTTGTGACCAGCTGCCTGGAGCTCCCGCCTGGACTGTGGGCCAAGACAAGCCTTCCTTAGTTGTTTCTGTCGAGTATTCTATTTTGTCAAAGCAATGAAAAACGTAACATGCAGAAAGTGTTATGGACTGATTATATTTCTATACAAGTAAGCTTAACATTTTTATACCTATTCATTATACCTCTGCTTTTAATAACATCTGTTTAGACTGGAGACATGGCTCAGTGATTAAGAGGACTTGTTGCTTTTGCAGAGGACCCAGTTCATTTCCCAGAACCTACAAAGAGGTTCACAGCTGCCTGTAGCTCTGGTCCAGGGGCTCTGACAACCTCTTCTGGCCTTTGTGGGCACCAGGCATGCATCTGGTACAAACACATACATATATGCAGACAAAACATTCCTAAACATAAATCTTCTCTTTTTAAAATATGTCTTTAAAAGCTTTTGTTGGGGGCTGGTGAGATGGCTCAGTGGTAAAGAGCACTGACTGCTCTTCCAGAGGTCCTGAGTTCAATTCCCAGCAACCACATGGTGGCTCACAACCATCTATAATGAGATCTGATGCCCTCTTCTGGTGTGTCTGAAGACAGCTGCAGTGTACTCATATATACATAAAATAAATAAATAATTATTTATGAAAAAAAAAAAGCTTTTGTTGGCTGAACATGGTGGTGAATGCTAGTAATCTATGTGACTATGGCAGCAAGGTTGTAGGTTCAAGGTTGGTCTGGACTACAAAGCAAGTTCCTACTTTCATCTCCATACCAAAAGCTTTTCTGTCTAAGCCATGCTGGGAAGGACCAAAAACAAATTAACGGTGTCTCTGTCCTTGCAAAACCCTCTGTTGAGGATCAGAGCCTGCTGTGGGGCAGAATGCTATTGATCACTTTGAAGTAGAATTTAATTACTTGAGGTAGTGCCTCTTGGGGTCTCATAGGAGCATACATTATCTTTTTTTTTTAATTTATTTATTTTATTTATAAGTACACTGTAGCTGTCTTCAAACACACCAGAAGAGGGCATTCAATCTCATTACGGATGGTTGTGAGTCACCATGTGGTTGCTGGGATTTGAACTCAGGACCTCTGGAAGTGCAGTCAGTGCTCTTAACCGCTGAGCCATCTCTCGAGCCCCCGAGTCCGCAGTCCGCGGGCTTCCTACCCACAGAGCCAGGACCCAGAGCGCTTTTCCGCAGCCACCGCGGGCTCCATTATCTTTTAAAATTTTTTTATTTATTTTACATGCATTGGCACTTAGCCTGCATTCGTATCTGTGTGAAGGTGTCAGAACTCCTGAAACTAGAGTTACAGACAGTGAGCTGTCCTGTGAGTGCTGAAAACTGAACTTGGATCCTCTGCAAGAGCAGCTAATGCTCCTAACCAACCGCTGAGCCATCTCTCCAGCCCCCTGGAGCATACAGTATCTTAGATGGCTCTTCCCTTAGCCGCTTCCTAACTTAGGTCTGTTGAGTCTTACTACTGCTTATGCTCATCCATGGTTCTGGGCTCTTAGACCATTTAGTTGGGTGAAATGGCAGGTTTGTTCTCAGAAAGCTAAAGAAGGCTTCACTTCCCTGTTATCCATAGAGTATATTGATGGGAAGTGTAATGCAAGTCTTGCCATCTTGGGCTGTCCCACCATAGGCATGGAGCCTAGCATGGTAGATGCCTCTCACAAACTAATAGCTGTGAAGCTGGGCCAGGGCTGACACAGGCCTGACACTACTGTAGGGCTCAGTAGTGACCGCAGACTAGGTCCCCACAACTGTCACTGAATCCTGGTCAGCTTCCTCACGTGATATGGGGATACTCTGGATAACGGGAAAGTGAAGCCTTCTTGAGCTTTGTGGGAATTCACCTGTCATTTCACCTAACTACATTGTCTTGACTAAGAGGCGTAAGAGCCGATAACCATGGCTTCATGTGGTTCTGTGCATCCAAGGTCAGGTCATCAGCTGGTGTTTACCCAGAGAGCCTCTGCTATTTTATTTATCATTTGCTTCTGGAGTGCTGGGGATTGAACCTGGGACCTTGAACATACTGTACAAATGCTCCACAGCCAAGCTGTAGGGCTGGTGAGGTGCAGTTAAAGATGCTGGTCCTGTGAGCCTGGTGATCTGAGTTTGATCCTGGAGCCCACAGGTAGGAGAGAACCAACCCCTGAAGGGTGTACTCTGACCTCCATGTGGACTGTTGCAGATGTATGTCGATATAGGTGCCAGTGTGTGAAACAGCTGAGTTCTATATAACCCTAGCCCGACTTCTATTCTCTTTTCTTTCCTTCCTTTCCTTTTCCTCTCCCTGCTTCCCACTCAAATTTAAGCACCACAACTCATTTGTCATTTTGGGAGAATAGACTTAGCACTATTGGTATGAGCATTCTTACTCATCTCCTTGAACACTTAGCTAATTCTTTTCTTAGATTGTGACTTTATAAACCAGTCCTCAGACTTCTCAGACCCTGGTAAGCTTTATCTTGTCTTTATGTTCTAAAGACATGTTCTTGGTTTTTTGTTTGTTTGTTTGTTTGTTTGTTTGTTTTTTGTTTTTCGAGACAGGGTTTCTCTGTATAGCCCTGGGTGTTCTGGAACTCACTCTGTAGACCAGGCTAGCCTCGAACTCAGAAATCCACCTGCCTCTGCCTCCCAAGTGCTGGGATTAAAGGCGTGCGCCACCACTGCCCGGCAGATTGTGATTTTAGATAGTAGAATTTATAATTATATTAGAATATTAGATTTTAGATGTTAGGATAAATTAGATATGACTGTCTAGACCAGGAGCAGTCTTTTGCAGTCTGGAGCGGATTGACTTGTGGAGTTAGGTCAGCGTGTGGGAACTGGCAGCTTTCCATTCAACCTGAAGCAGCACTGTCAGTGCTGGGAGGAGTGATGCAGCTGTGATGCTCGCCCGTGCTGCCAGCCCTGCTACTTCCTCTTTCTGTTCTTTCTGCAGATCTATGAGCTTCGTGTGATGGAGACCAAACCTGACAAGGCTGTGTCCATTATTGAATGTGACATGAATGTGAGTGACTTTCCACTGTAAGTGAGGTCAGACCCCATGAGAGTGTCACACAGAGGAAGAGGAGGACAATGCTGCCAGCATAGGAGAGGTGGCCATTCACTTAGTAGTTCCTCCTAGGGAATAGAAGTGGCAGTTGACTGTACTTAAAGTGACTGGATCCACAGTCACCTCGGGCCTGTCAGAGAGTGAATGTCTCAGTATTAAGAGCTAAATGAAAACAAATTATTGATAGGACTCCTGGTTGTCAAGGGGAAAAAAAAAGGTTACACTGTCTCCTGCTTCCTTTGATTTACATTGACATCCTAAGGTGTCAGACTTTAGAAAGGGAAGAGGGATTAATGGTTGCTGGGAACATGTGGGTCATTGTAGAACTATTAGTACCTTCCCTGAGGTAATGGATATAAACACTTCCATGGTGATACGGTTATATTTAACTCTAAACACCCTCCCTCCCATGCACGCACGCACGCACGCACTCATGCACAGTTCCCAACAATAGCTTTGTGTCTATAATGTATCAGTGTCATTGTTGTGATATTGAACAGTATAAAGCACTATTGTTGGGTATACTGGACTCTAAAGCTTTTGTCTCAGTTAAGAAAGCAGAGTGTGGCGCATCTGAGAAGTTAACTTTTATTATCAATACACAGGTGGATTTTGATGCTCCCTTGGGCTACAAAGAACCAGAAAGACCAGTGCAGCATGAGGAGTCAATAGTAAGTCATTTTCTCGAGCTCCTCCTGATATTTTTGTACCTGTGCTTCTTTTGTTTGTTTTAATTACATTTAAATACGTTGTGTGCGGGTTGTGAGTGTGTTTGCCACACATGTGTATGGAGATCAGAGAACAACTTTTGGGAGTTGGTTCTCTTCCCACCATTGGAAACCAAGGATTGAACTCAGGTCTCAGGCTTGGTGGCAAGTATTTTTACCAGGTGAGCTGACTTGTTGGCCTGTTGGTGTGTCTCTTTGTGAGTGCAGGGCTAGCTGGGTCATAGTCCTTGCTCCTAGGAGGAGGCTTGCCTCCTAGGAGAATAATGTGTTCCAGCTGATGAAGACTGGGGCACCTGTGGAAACAGGTTCTGAGGAGAGCTGACCACCCATTCCAGGAAGCTCATGTCCTGTTTCTTTTCTTTTCTTTCCCTGTCAGGAGGGAGAAGCTGACCACAGTGGCTATGCTGGAGAGGTGGGCTTCCGTGTGAGTACCAGGCACTGTGTGTCTCTCTGGATCCTGATGCCAGGAACTATTCTCAGTGACGATTTGTGAACATTAGCAGGACGTGAGCTCTGGGTACCCAAATGAGCAGACAAATGAGGCACTTGCTCAATTACTAAACCATTTTTTTTTAAACAGATTTAAATTCATTTTTTAAGAAGATTTATTTATTATATTTATATAAGTACACTGTAGCTGTCTTCAGACACACCAGAAGAGGGCATTGGATCCCATTACAGATGGTTGTGAGCCACCATGTGGTGTTGGGAATTGAATTCAGGACCTCTAGAAGAGCAGTCCGTGCTCTTAACTGCTGAGCCATCTCTCCAGCCCTCAAACCTTTTAATATGTGCTTTCTCTTGGGACCTTGACAACCCTAAAAGGCTTCCAACTTCTGTTGTTCCTTTCAAAACGTATGCCTATCAGGACTTGTGTATGGCCCCTAGGTGTGTGTGGGGGTGTCCACTACAAAGTCAAATTAGTATAATAGATCCTCACAACCCTCCCCTTAGGCTCATTTGCTTTACCTCTGAAAACACATCCTGCTTTTATTTGCCTACACCATTTGAAAGTAAGCTGCATGCTTGCTAGCCAGGCTCCCTGGTAAACAGGAGAAGTGGCTCATGTGCGGGTGCTGACATGCTGGGAAGCAGAAGAGCAGGTATGACTAGACAACAGAGATCAGCTATCACTGCTGCTGCCTGTATTAGAGAGCTCTTAGCCTTCCTGCAGTCCCTTGAGGGGCTGGTGGAGATATCTTGGCTGGGAGCACTCAAGAGAAGGTCTGGCAGTGCACCAACTCCCACTCTTCTGGGGTCTCTGGACAGAGGCACATGGTTGCTCACTCTTGAGGTTGAGCATGCACCCTCTTGTCTCCCTTGTCTAGGCCTTCTCTGGTTCTGGGAATAGACTGGATGGAAAGAAAAAGGGGGTTGAACCTAGTCCCTCCCCAATCAAGCCTGGAGACATCAAAAGGTAGGTCTGTCCTAGTCTGTCCCTGATGAATGTTTGCCATTTTCCAAGAAAGGTTTGACACATGGGCTTTGTGTCAAAGTCCAGGACATGGACGAGCCTCATTCCAGTGTTGGAGACAGAGCAGCAGGCTACTGAGTAGGCTCAGGCCCTTGCTCACTCCCTGACAGTGGTAAAGCATGATGGTGTCTGTCCAGGGATTCATAGTGAACCCTCTTTTGGTGGCTACCAGGTAGGGGTAGGATGTGTTAGCTGTCTACTGTGTGTGTGACCAGGAAGAGAACAGGAGATGGGATCCACTGGAGCATTTTCAGAGGAAGTCTAAGGCTAGACCAGTACCCACAGTTCCTATCCCACAACCAGTGTTTTTACTTTCTGTTCCCTCCTAGCAGATACATAGAGAGTAGAGCAGTGTATACTAGACAATTACCAAGTAGGCACTGCTGTCTCTCCCTACCTTCCTCTTGATTGTCAGAAGCAAATCTTAGTTCTCCTTGTAACTAACCTTTCTCCTTGTCTGTAATCTTCACAGAGGAATTCCTAATTATGAATTTAAGCTTGGTAAGATCACTTTCATCAGAAATTCACGTCCGTTGGTCAAAAAGGTTGAAGAGGTAAGTTTATTTCATTGGTCATAGAATTTACTTACTAGTGGTGACTGGTGTTTCTGCCATTCAAAATAGAGTGCTTTTGCGATATTTAGGCCCCTTCTTGTGGTCCTGCTGTTCCTAATGGGCTGATTACTCTGTAGAACCATTGCAGGTCTATTGACTAAGACCTGGCAATGCAGGGGTCAAGAACTGACTCTAGGTTCTGCCACGAAAAAACTCTGGAGCCCAGGCGGGTTTCATCTTCTTTTTGCTTACAGTTTTTTCAGAGTGGGAAGTTGAACCCAGAACCTCACACAAGCTGAACTGTACTCTTGCTTATCACTGTTCTTTCTAACCTAGAACTAGAGCTTACTGTTTCTATACAGTGGCTCCTGAGTAAGTGGTATGACTGTAAGACAGGGACAGCATGGCTGAGTCCTGCAGAGATGAATATGTGAACAGGCCCAGCTGACTCTGGTTCGACATGATACCTGGGAATAAGTGCATGTGCTCATAGGAAACCAAACTGACCAAAATCAAGACATTGACTGTTAGCACAAACACTGTCATGAAGGTTCAGGTCTCCTACAGCCCTGGTACTGCTCAGCAATGGTGACTAGCATGATACTGGCTCATAGAGTCAGTGCCAAGTCAGGTGCCAGGTATCCCCTGTGTGCTTAAGTAACATCTCATTACTGAGATATGCCTGTGAGCTTCATGTTGTGGTTGCATTTGTACAGATGCATGGGTACAGAGCCATATCCCCTAATCACCTCACACATGGTATCTGTAGCACTCCATCTAGAAAGTGAACTTCACAAAGACATCAGGACAGCAAGCTTCTATGGCCAGCATGTTCCTGTTACCGGGCATGGGGGTGGGGGAGCTGCCTTAGAAGCAGGAGGCATTACATGGGAACTTAGTCCAAGGCAAGGTGTTAGGCATTAGTTATAGGTGTCTCATCCTGCTGCAGATTGCATTCTGCACAACATCTGTGTCTGAATTGCAGCCACCCAAGTGTGATGGCTATTTCTAGAATACCTATGTCAGACCCTTGCCTTTCCTGGTTCATTTCTCAAAGGATCATGCTTAGCTGGTCATGGTGCAACTGTAATCTCAGCAACTGGGAGGTTGATGCAAGAGGATCCGGGAGCTCAGAGTCAGGCTTTGCCAAAGGAGACCTATCTTAGAAGAGAAGGAAGGGAGGGAAGGAGGGAGGTGGAAGGGAAGGAAGGAAGGAAAGAAGGAAAGAAGGAAGGAAGGTAGGTTGGTTAGTCGATCTCCTTGAGGGGTCTCAACAGGGCAGAAATCAGCCGTGCTGTGAGACCGTGTGAGACTGCTGGATCATTGCCAGACACTCTTGGCTACTGAATTTGTTCTGCTCGAGTATTCTGGGTGGCCTGAGACAAAGACTAGGGTGTTCCTGGCTGGACTGCAATCTCCTTGCCGCCTGTAATGTCCCTTAAGCTGACACACACTGTTATAAGGTCTCCAGGCTTGGAACAGGCCTCCATGAAACCTGCCTACGTCCTTTATCAGATATAGTTTAGCTTTCATCGTACTCACAACTCAGTGTGATTTATAGAAGGGAGAATAAGCTGGCAGGCACAGTCACAAATATTTGTGAAGTTAAAGACATAGCTTTACTCTATCTTCAAAGCCACTAAAGTTTTGGTGAAAGGTAATGGGATAATAAGTTTGGAAGAGAAGGCAACTTCAGCAAGGATTTGACAGAAGGACAAACAGAACCTGCTTTTAATTAGAGTGAACAGCTACAGTCTAAGCCTGGCCTGGGAAAAGCCAATCGGCAGTTTGGTATAGATCCCAAAGCTCTCAGAAGCAAACGAGAGGTAAAGATAGAATACCTATTACAATGCGTTTAGAGTCACAGCACCTTTCCCGACAAAGCAAGACAAAAATTCTAAGAGGAAAAAATCTCCAGCCTAAAATTTTGTACCCAACTCTTTCTAGACTAAACTTTAGCCTCTCAAAATTTCTGTGTTGTTCTCACAATGTGACTGTTTGAATATAGGGCCCTTTACAAGGCATAATTAAGGGAAAATGGGGCCCTAATTCAAGCTGACCTATTTTCTAGTTTTCCCAGAAAGAGGGAATGTGACTATATAGAGGAAAGGACAGGTACAGGCATAGAAGGACCATTTTCAAGCCAGAGGGGTCTGAAGACACCTTGGTCTCAGCTTCTCAGCATGCTCATAAGTTATTGTGGTATTGTAGCCACTAAGTTCGTAATGATTGACATGGCAGCTCTACCAGACTGGTTCACTAGCTGACCTACCATCAGTACACCAGGTTCAAAACAAAAGAATTTTCTCACATGTATGACCAGAAAAAAAACACCTTTGAGAAGCTTTCTGAAGACTACTTGAATGTATACCTCACTAAAGAAAGGAAGTACAAAAAGCTGAAGCCAGTGGCAACTCACACTGAATCTCAGCACTGATGAAGCTGAGGCAGATAGAAAGTTCAAGGCCAATCTGGGCTCTAGTACAAGAAAATGGCAAGTCCTAGCTTGGGATATACCTTCAAACAGATGAAATTGGTCAAGTCTTGTGCTCAGATGGAGGAGAGAGAAGTCAGGACAGACAGAAGGCTGTGTGGCAGAGGCCTGCATTCTATAGTTCACATGTGCTCTGCACTTATGTGCTTGGCATCACATAAACGTTGAATTGCTTCAGGGTGCAGTAGGTGTGAAGATGTGTTTTGGAAACTGCAGATTTCCTCTGTTGTAAGAAAGCAAGAGGTAATGCTTCAGATCTTGAGCAGTTAAAAGAAGGTGGGGGTAAAACCTACTGTTTTTGCGGTGTTAAAGAAACAAACATGCTAGTGAAAGAATTGATTGGTAGTGTTTCTTATGGTTAGCTGGTCTGAATATACAGTTTTTTTTTTTTAAATGTGCCTCTTTTAAGCTAGAAATTCCCTTCTAGAAAAACAAAAACAAAACAAAAACCAGAACTGTGTGCAGTGAGCCATTTATCGCAGCAGTGCCAACCAGGAAGTAAGGTATTTTAGATTAGAAACTCATGAGTTTGAGATTTGGGGATTAAATAAATGTGTGCAGCCGGGCGGTGGTGGCGCACGCCTTTAATCCCAGCACTTGGGAGGCAGAGGCAGGCGGATGTCTGAGTTCGAGGCCAGCCTGGTCTACAGAGTGAGTTCCAGGACAGCCAGGGCTACACAGAGAAACCCTGTCTCGAGAAACCAAACCAAATAAACAAATAAACAAATAAATAAATAAATAGGTGCAGAAAGGTGACTGGAAATGCTCTTGGGTTGGTGCAGTTGAGAGTGATTTTCTTGGAGCAGTATAGTTTTTACATTGAAACGGTTGTTGTGGGGCTGCAGCGTTGGCCAAAGCTCTGAGAGCACTGACTTCCTCAGAGAAGCCAGATTCAATTGAGATGGTGGCTCAAACCTCTGTAACTTCAGTCCTAGCTGGGCTCCACGGGCACTGCATGTATATTTTACACAGATGTATGTAGGCAAAACACCTGCACGCATAACATTTTGGAAATATAAAATAATTTTTGTGTAAAAGGTTCCCAAGCTATCATGGTTGAATTTAGGATTTTTCAACTTTCTAGTGATGTGAAAGTGATAGCTGTTCAATAGAAATAATGCTTAGAGTTTTGAATTTGATTATTTCCTGGGCTAACAGGTGATGGGATCCTCTCTGAGTGTTGGATGACAGCAAGGAGCCACAGGTTCCCTTCCCTCACATGGTCACAAGGGGAGGCTACCAGAGCACTGCAGTGTAGCTTGTAATTGAGTTGGGTATTCAGAAGGGAGATGTATGAAATGCCTTTTCTACTTAATGATAACTTCAACTGAAAATGGCTCCTTAAGACATAACCGCCTCCATAAGTTGAGGAGAAGTTGTACAGTAAATCTAAAAACAAAGGTGGTGGTAGACTCTCACAGTTGTGATTTGTGGGTTTCTCAATGGCCATAAATTCCAGAGATACTAGATACTTATTTATATGTGCGTTTGATTGCCGTGTGTGCAGGTGCCCTGGCAGCTCAGAAGATGAGTCAAATCCCTTGGATTTGGAGACACTTGTGAGCCGCCCAGCATGGGTGCTGGGAACTGAACCTGGGTCCTGAAAGAGAGGAACACACTTTTAACCACTGATCTATCTCTCCAGCCCCTCCAGGGCATTTGAGTCCATAGAATAAAATAATTATTCTAAGCTTTGAGAGTTTCTGAAAATAATATCCTATTTTCATACCTAGGATGAAGCTGGAGGCAGATTTGTTGCTTTCTCTGGAGAAGGACAGTCACTGCGTAAGAAGGGAAGAAAGCCCTAAGTCCAAAACTGTTGGCTGACTGGAAAAATAAAAGATCCGATTGCAACTGGCTTACAGTTACTGGCTCTGACAAGTTCAGAGATGCTGTGTTATTTATGGTTTGTTTAGAGTCACTTAAGAACTATCAAGCTTGTTCTGGATGCAAAACAGCAGAACTTGGAGGTTGTGTGCTTGATCTGGGGGGGGAAAGGGGGAGAGCGCACTCGGGTCCTATGGGTGACTGCCTCTTCCACTTCCTACACTTGGCTCCAGGGCCCTCCCAGGGCTTCAGCAGAGCAGCCCTGATTCCTGACTTTCTCTTCTTTCCCATGTCTATACACGGGGCAGTGTCTTTAGCCCATCATGGGTACTCAGGCCAGGACTTGAGTACCTGACAAAGATGGCCTCTGTTTTCATTTACAGTGACTCAGAAGGGATCTCATCCAGATGAATGCACTCTCGTTTTGATCTGCTTGCTCTCAGTGAATTTCATGATGAAGCCAGATGTGAAAGGCAGAATGAATACATGCTTAAGTTCTGTGCCCCCGTTACATTTATTAGCCAAGGTTCTGACAGTTTGTCTTTTTCAAGTACTAGGATTGAACTAGAACCTTATGAATATTAAGTATGCCACACACTCTACCACCGAGGCTCATTCATCCATGCCCCTTTTTCTTACTGTGAGGCTCATCCATGCCCCTTTTTCTTACTGTTTTATTGTCCTCAGATCTATTTGCGCTTTGTATGATATAAGATCTTTTGACATGCTGACCCAGTTATTTAAATTTTGTTCCTTGAGAATAATTCTTATTGAATTAAATAAACTGATTAAAACTTGCCTCTAGCTGTTTGATAAGGTATACCGTGAACTGGTGGTTCAGAAGTCATAGGAATGCCCCTTACAGCAGCATTTCATCTACCATTAGAAGACTACTTCTGAGACTTGTGGAGGCTGTAGGGACAGCCTGGTGCTTGGAGTAGAGCTGGCCAGGCCTAGCAAGGTCCCCATGGAGGGTGCACTTTCCCTCTAGGTTGATAGCTCCAGAGTATGTCCGTTTGCTCTGAGAAATATCCATAAACATGATAATTGACTCCTAACTCTGTAGCACGGACATGTCACTGTCCAAATGTGGCTCTGGAAGGCATAAATGCTGTGGTAACCTGCCAGACCTGTCCTTTGGGGGTATCTCAGTTTCCCTAGCAGTAAGGCAGCCTTCATCTGTGGGATTCTGTTGCCTAATTTTGTTAGGCTTGAGAGAGCTTGTTCTTGCAGTGGGTCAGGTTTGGTTTGCAGCACTCACTTGGTGGCTTGTAGGCACCTGTAACTCCAGTTCCAGATGATCTTTGTATACATGTTGCACATACATATTTATACACATAAAATAAATGCGTTAATAAAAATGTGTGTGTGCATGCCAATGTGTAGATAAGAAAACAGCTCAGGAGTTCCTTCTGTCCCCTAGAAGGATACAAGGATCAAATTCACGTCCTTGATTCTGTTCACAAGTTTCTCTACGAACAGAGCCATCTCACCTTATGATCTCCAGTTAGGTTTTTTGTTGTTTTTGAGACGGGGGTGGGGTGGGGGGGAGAGGGGGGAGAATCTCACCCTATATCCCTATCTGGTCTAAAACTCACTGAGATGCCCCTGTTCTTGCTTCCTGAATGCTGGGATTAAGGGTGTGCAATGCTGAGTTTGTCACTTCTAGAACTTTAACCATTACTTATCCTGCACTGGCTCTCCTCTTCATACACCTAATCGAGCTCACCCACACTGAGTGTATGCTTAGGCCTGTAGTCAGATCTCTGTAGTTTCAGACCGCTAGGTGGATTAAGAGTATGTACTTCAAAAGCTGAACCACATATGGATTTGAAAAATAAAAACCGGGAGAACTGACCAGAACTACTGGATTTCAGACTGCTAATTAATACCTACGTGGCTTTGAAGCTAAACCACCCGCTTGACACCCGGTGGTGCGGCCTCTTGACTGTCAGCCTCTCAGTACAGACGTCCTGCTTAGCGCGCGTTTGCGTGGAGCTCATAGGTTCATGTCTCTGTCAGTCACACGGGGCCTGAGCATGGCGGTCGCAGGCAGCTGGCAGGTGAGTGTTCTGGGCTCCTGGGCTGGGTGGGGTCAGGCTATGGGGTCTGCCCGCGCTCTCCACTGTCTCTCCCCGCAGCCTCCCCGGCCGTGCGAAGTCTACCGTGCTGAGTGGGAGCTCTGCCGCAGCGCCGGGCACGTCCTACACCACTACTACGTCCACGGCCAGCGGCCGGATTGCAGGCAGTGGCTGCGCGACCTGATCAGCTGCCGCGAGTGGGAGGAGAGCCACAGCGCCGAGGCCCAGGTGCGCGCAGGGTGTGGATGTGTGCGCAGATCCTTCGGGGCACCCCCCGCCCCGTGTTCCCCTCCTGAGTACCCCAAAATGCGTTATCAACGGGACTTTAGACCGCGTCAATTACGGGGGGAGGGGCGCAGAAGGAAGGGAGGTATATAGAGGCTTGGAGAGAGGAAGGACAACATTCTAGCGTTCGAGTCATCAGCTTGTCAGCGAGCCCCCCTTCATCCAGCCCTTGGGGACAGGACGAAAGAGGAGAAAAGCCAAGGTTCCCGGAGTATGAGAGTGGACTATAGTGTATAGGAATGAGCCTGGGAGTACCTACAAGTTTTCCAGCACGTGTCAATTGAGTTACCTTTGGCAGGTCAGTCTGGATCTCAGTGTGAAGGGTACTGTAGAGGACAGAGAGACCAGTATGAAGGCTGTTGCTGGAGGTAGTCCTTTTCCTGGGCGATGTGAAGAAACCTCTACTCTAGATTGCATGTAGAATGCGGGATGGGACCAAAGAAAGGCTTCCACTTAATCTAGCTTGATGAGCAGTAACTTCCTTGAGTCACTTATAGAAGCATGGGTGACTCTCTGAAGCAGCAGCATTACCCGAAGACCCAACACGGGTGATCCCTGGAAAGCAAAAGCATCCAAGCAGTTCCCGAGTCTCTCTCCTCTTCCAGCCTTTGTTACTGTTTTTTTATAGTTTTGGGGAGAGCGCTGGTGATATTTTAAATCTCTAAGCTTCTTGCTCCTAAATTTAGTGGGCTTCCTGAGTCGGTGAGCCTCCCTCCTACCTCCAGGTGAGAGTGATTCAAAGCCTAGGACATAACTAAGACACAGGTGGCTCCCAGTATCCATTCATTAAACAAATAGTGGGCAATTCCTGATGCAGGGTGATAAGGGGAGCCCTAACTTTCCTGGGGCACACTGCTGTCTGGCATTGTCTGAAGTATGGCATTGCTTTCCTGGATAGTATGATGGAGAAGGGAGAAAGAAAACTCCAGGACACAGCAGAGGAGAGAGCATAAAGGAACAAGTGATTGGTGTTAAATATGTGAGCATTCTGAAACTCAGCAAACCAATGTGGAAAACACGTTGCTGAAACAAAACCAAACCAATAGACAGAAACATGGCAAAAGTAAAAAACATGGTGGAAAGCTTCTTTGTATGGCAAGAGATTGGAAACATACTGTCTGTAACTATATGTCAGCTATCATAAATTAGTGTAAGAAACAAAGATGTTTCTGGATAGAGAAATGGCCAGGGTCACGAAAAAGCAATTCACTGTGAAACTCAGAACACAGAAGCAATTATTTCTTTACCTTTTTGTTTTTTCTCCAGACAGGGTTTCTCTGTGTAGCTCTGGCTGTCCTGGAACTCACTCTGTAGACCAGGCTGGTTTTGAATTCAAGAGATCCACCTGCCTCTGCCTCCTTAAAGGCATATGCCACAACCACCTGACTTCTTTACAATTTTTAAAGTACTTTTATTCGCATATATATCTGTACCATGTGACTCTACTGCCTGAGGATTGTCTGGAACTGGAGTTTCAGATGGTTGTGAGCTGGTGTCTGAGTGCTGGGAATCTTAACTGCTTAGATTAACTTAACTGCTCTTAACTGCTGAGGGATCTCTCCAGCTCGTACAATTTTTTTTTAAAGTCTTTGTGTGTGTGTGTGTGTGTGTGTGTGTGGCATGCATGTGTATACATGTGCATAAATTGCATGTAGAGAGCCCCTCTGCTGACACCAGGTGTCTTCTTTGTCACTTCCCACCTTATACACCGAGGCCAGATCTCTCCATGAACTTGGACTGTCTGCAGCTCCTGAGTGCTGGAATTACAGGCATTCACTAACATACTCAGCCCTTATTTGCTTCTTAAGCAATAATGATCATTTTAGAGACAGGATCATAGCCCAGGCTGGTTTGAAACTTCAGATCCTTTTGGCTTTGCCCATCAACTGTTGGGAATACTATTGCTCCCAGTTTAAGAACATTTGTAAAGAGGCTTAGATAGCACCTGACACTTCGCCAGACTCAGCCCTGTCATAATACACTGTCCAGTGTCCCTGTTAGTAGTGGCTAAAAGAAGCTGGTGGGATGGGAGAGGCACCTTTTACACACACCCTGTGCAGAGTCCAACAGTAACTTTAGACTGCTCTCTCTTCCCCACTGAGTGTCCTCACTCCCAGACGAGGCAGGTGACGGGCTCCACACCCTCAGGTCCACTGTTGCTGAGGCTTAGCGGGTGTTTTGCATGGCTGAAGGCAGAGACTGCACATGGCTGTACATACTTATAATTGCAGCACTCAGGAGGTGGCGACAACAGCCTCAGAATTGACGGTCATACGTAGTGATCTTGAGGCCTGCCTAGGCTACTTGAGACCCTCTCTAAAAAAATTCAGAGAACACAAAATAAAACTGCTAAAGTACGATGACTTGTGATATGCAGAAAGAATGTCCTGGATCTGTGTGTGCCTAAACAGAACAGTTGTCAGAGTGTTGTGTAGAAGCAGCTGAGCTTGTGTGTACCGTATGCTCCCGTTTGTTCCTCTCTTCAGAAGAGTGCTGAGGAAGAGGATGATATAGGTGCCATGCAGCAGTACTAAGGACCCTAGAATCCAGTTGTGCAGCAGTAAGTGACCAAGTCTCATTTGTACAGCAATCCCTCTGTGAGAGCGAGCAGGCTCGGGTCCAGACTACTCAGAAGCACACCCTGGTATGGGCCTTGAGGCAGAGGCCTCCTGCAGACTGGAACCTCCCTCTTCCACAGGAGAAGGACAAGTGACAAGCAACTGCAACCCTACCCTTGACTTAGACTTTAACTGGCTCTTACTTGACCTGGAACACAGAGCAAGGCATTTCCAGCTCTAACTGCCTACTACCCACTGGATCTGGGCATCTCATCACTGTGATTGATACTCTGAAGGACACCTGTGTCCACATGCAGGACGCTAAGCACTGAGGCAGGTGTCTGTGAGCAGTCAGGTGGGTCCATCCTGTTCATGCCACCTCCCCTGAGAAGACCCCTGAGAGGTGGCAGTCCTGAGGTGTGGAAATCTCAAGTACACAGTAGTGGCCCTGACTTGTGTGGATCGAGAGCACAGTAGTCAGAATAAAGTTGCTAGACTACCTTATTCTGACAGAGCGACGCTCCTTGACCATGAGGGATGGACTGCAATGTCTTGTTTGGTGATTATCATTTATCCAAGTATGGAGCTCATACTTGCTCAGCTTCCCTGGAAACACAGTAGAGCATGCTCAGTGGGCAGGGCAACTTACCCCTCTGTACTAGCAATGCTTTCTGGTTTTGCAGATTTGCAATAAATAAATAAATAAATAAATAAATAAATAAACACACACACACAGGATTGCAGGAACCAAAGAGTCTGGAGTCAAGAAATCCAAGTCCCATGGCAGAGAGAGACAGAATTCAGGTCCAAGGAATATGGGATTTAGGCCTCCTGATTTCTCATTGTTAACGTATTTTAAAAAAAGCTGTTTCA